AGGCATGTGGAAGTCCGAGGACTAACTGTTAACAGAGTTTGAAACCACCGGGAAAAGACCACCAGGCCTAATTCAAATTTTAATTGGTCAAATTTATTAGGGCTATAGCCATCCATGGTCCCTTAGGCAGATTCAGGACCCATGGCCCGGAGGGGAGGGTGAAACTAACCAAATAAGGCAAAACCCACAAATACCGCAAGACTTTCATCATCACACATGAGTAATGCCAGGTGGTCCTGAGTAGGGTCGGGATGGCCAAATTAGCAGATAAACAAACTATAGAAGCCAGAACGAGCTTGTGTTAGTTCTCTTGACAGAGGTATAGAGGCCTCGACAGTAAGGCACTTTCTGATTACTACTGTTATTTAGACTTCGGTCAGCTACTCCAAAGAAACCACTCTTCTAAGGGAGTCCAGCTAAGTCCAGACCTGACCTTGAAGCTGGCCGTTTTTCTAGCTTTTGAAGTTTAAAGTGGCTGCTTTATACAAAATGAAGAAAATGAAATTACTTTGGTTTTCTCTCTCTCCCCCTCTCTTCCCCTCTCCCCCTCTCTCCCTCCCTTTCTACCACACAGGCCAGTCTAGCTGTCCCTGGAGTTTCCAGGGAATCTGCCTGCTTCTGCCTCCCATTGCCAATCACTGGGATTACAGGCCCAAGCTGTCCATGCCCAGGTTTTTACTTGAACTCTTTGAAGTCCTCCAGCTTTCCAGGTAAGCTCTTCACCAACTGGGCCAACCCCCCCGCCCCCCAGGCAATGAGATTTTTAATTCAGCCCCTGCTAATCACTGAAAGGTGATTTTTCAGAGGTAAAATTGTGATTCCCATTATGATATATCAACAACTGTCTTTACTCAATTAATACAGGAGAGAGAGAAAAAGGTTATAATCAATTCAAAGAAAACTTGAAAAAGAGTCCCAACTATAGGCAGGAAATCTGAGACAGAATAGGCAGATGAGGAGGGAGTCATCAGTGGCCTGATGGGGGACAGTGACTCTGTTCCAGATGGAACTATCTGGCCCCATCCATTCTGTACAACTTAAAAGGTGCTGGACTGGACCCCATAAGATAACCAGTAATGTTAATGTGGATAGTTTTACCATGACACATGTTTTTCTCACACCCCCAAGCCTGTGTTCTGCAGAAAACACACACACACACACACACACACACACACACACACACACACACACTACTGAGCATGCAAGACCCAAAAAGCCATATCTGTCAGAGGGAACACCACAGAGTCTGGGCACAGAAGGGAGTCACAGTAAATTTGCTGGTTGGTGTTCTGAGCCACAAGAAGGGGAAGTGCCAGGGGATAAGGAGAAGGCCACCCCTCCCTGATCCCAGCACCCTCCACAGCCTGGAGCTTTGTGCTCATGCTTGCTCTAGATGCTACCCAAGCCAAGTTAACTGGGCCTCTTTATGACTGTTGCAGACTTTGAGCTTTATGAGGACCCACGCTCCTATAAATGCTGAGGGTGGGGACAGTGGCAAAAGTTGTTGAACCTGGGCCCTGGTTATGATGTTGCTCAGCCAGGCAGGCAGGGAAGAAGAGTCCCATGGGAGTAGGGTACAGTGGAAAGTCAGGATGGTACAGTGGCAGGATGACCCCCCCCATCAACTGGAGGAGGCAATCTGTGCTGGGCAGTGAGGAGGTAGCAGGTTACACAGTTCTGACCACTATACCCATACAAAAGGAGTCATGATGTGGTCATATCTAGCCAGAGGACCCCGAGCCCCAACACAACCATCTAACATGAAGCCTTGGGAGGGGTAAGCAGTCCTGTCTTCTTAGCTCCTCTGTCCTCCTTAGCTGAGGCAGAACCCCAACAGATACTTTTCAGCACCTCTGGGGGAAGGATATTCCAGGCCTCCCTTCTTCCCTCCTCCCCCATGAGCAGAGAGGTGGAGATCACCTTTCACACTCTCCTGGGAACAGTGAAGAATGGGGCCATGTGGCCTCTGTGGCCCCTAATCTCTCTAGCAATGTCTGCCTCGAGTTTGCATTGGATCCTATGAGATTCCAGACTCCCGTCTGAGGCCTAGCTGGGTCCCTAGCCTTGTAGTGCTTCCAGACAAACCACAGAACACCCACTTAGGTTTAAATTCCAAGTAACTGATGAATGGGACACAGGACATGCTTATACTGAAATAGTATTCCTTACAAATTCAAATTCAAATTGGATACTAGATAATTATACGGCAAATACGGCAGCTGGCCTAGAAATCTGCACTCCCGTGTCCTAAGGCAGAGCCAGCTTGCCTGTCCCCCATCCCCTCCTGGCAGGCTCAGGGTAGCTGAGCTACGCTACCTGACCATAACAGACCACCAGTGTCATGTTGTAGGTGGCCTCCTGTTACCTGCACTGGCTACCACAGCTGCCCCTCAGCCCAGCCCAGAGTGGGAGAGCTAGGGTGTTGTCTGACTGTTCCTGGTGAGGTGTGAACAAACACCTATCTACCCAGATGGGGCACCAACAACAGACCAAAGAAATGATACCACCCAAGCCTAGCTTGGTGAGATAGTGAATTTACTGGGCTTATTTACAGAAGCATAGCTAAGAGGTTAATTACAGAAATGTCAGTGACCCCAAAACAGTCACATGGCCCAAAAGTGCCCCCCAGCATGGGTGATGACCTCTCTTTAAAAATATTTTAATACTTTTATTGTGCATGTATGAGTGTATTACCTGCATGTGTGTAAGTGCACCAGTGTTGTGGAATTCCTGTGGAGGTCAGAAAAGGGCATCGGATCCCTTGGAACTGGAGTTATGGATGGTTGTTAGTCACCTAGTGGGTGGTGGAAATCGAACCCAGGTCCTCTGCAAGAGAGCAGTCAGTGCTATTATCTGCTGAGCCATCTCTCCAGCCCCAGATCATAACCTCTTGAATGCTGTATAGCTGGAGTCCTGCCTTCAGCTAACCTTCTACCTCTATGATCCCCAGCACCTCCTGGGATCCATCCAGTTGGGGCAGAGTTACATACAGCTGGGGGCGGGAGAGGGTGGCAGCTGGAATCTCAGGGTCTGCTGACCCCTCTCCCTCTTTCTACAAGGGTATGTTAATAGGCTGGTCTTGTAAGGTTCTCATGATCATGAGAAATCAGCTGCTGTGACTTGGAAATAGTGCTGGCCATGTCATGCCCAGAGGAAGGGCCTGTATTCCATAACATGGCCTAACTCTTACCCTCTGCCCTCTCCCTCTCGGCCTCCCACAATGCTCCAGAGACCAGAAGCAAGAAGAAAAGTTCAGACTGAGTGGGGGGCAGGGGCAGGAGGGAATAAAGTCTACAATTTGGGTTGTGCTGCGCCCTCTGTTTTCCCCCCCTCCGTCCTTGGCTGCCAGGGGAACCTGAGGCCATGAGATGGTGCACAGCAGCCCGACAGAAGCAGCCTGGGTCCACACGAGCACAGACACCCTGGACTGCTTCATGAAGGCTCCCCCAGGGGAGAAGCAGGGTGTGAACAAAAGTTCCAAGAAAGAAACTGCACCTAAAGGTTTCTTGGCTGTTTAGAACCTCAATGATTATGGAGAGGTTGGAATCTTGCAGGTCCAGGGCCTAATTACAAATTATCCTGGGATATCTTGGCCCCTCTCTATGTATGACCTAATATCCTATGACTATTAAGTCATTTGAAGTGTATGAACAGATTCCTGGCTTCCACCAACTCAAAAGCTAAGACTGTTATTAGGTAGCATCTGAGACCTACTAAAAAGGTTTTCCCACTTTGCTGTGACCTGCCCACCTCATCTACCCACCAGGTGGGTATTTGAAAGGTGTGTTGATTTATTACTTTGTTCTGTTACCACAAAAACTTCATGAAATGGCTGCCGCGTTTGGGGTGACCTGAATCTGTGTTCTCAGGCCATGGCCACTTGCTTATATTTGGTTCCAGAATAAACTATCTCTTATCACCTTTAGGTGAGAGCACTCTGTTTTACAAGAAGAGCTAACTAAAACTGTCTTTGACTTACAGTTGTGTTTCATCCAGAGAAACACATCATAAGTTGGAAGTTTCATAAGTCAGAAGTCTATTTAGGAGGCCAGGGAGATGACGCAGTAAATAAGGTGATTGCCCAGGAGGATCTGAGTTCAAATCCCCAGTACCCAAAGCCAAGTGTGGTGACCTGTGCATATAATATCAGCTCTAGGAGGCAGAGCCAGGAGAATTCCTGGGACTCACTGGACAGCCAGTTGAGCCAAAATCAGTGAACCCCAGATTCAGTGAGAAACACCATGAGAGGCTGGAGAGAGGGCTCAGCAGTTACGAGTGTGCACTGCTCTTCCAGAGGACCAGCGTAGTTTCCAGCACCCACATCTGGAAGCTAACAACTACTTCAGCTCCAGAGGATCCACAACCCTCTTCTGGGCTCCACTGACACCTGCACACAGGTGGCATACACACAAGTTAATTGATTGATTAATTAATAGGCAGAGAGTGATAAAAAGACCAATGTCAACCTCTGGCCTCTACAGTATACACACACAC